GAAGTGAGAGCTGGACCATAAAGAAAGCTGACCGCTGAAGAATTGATGCCTTTGAATTGTGGTGCTGGAGGAGACTCTTGAGAGTTCCCTGGACTGCAAAGAGAACAAACCTATCAATTCTAAAGGAAATCAACCCCGAGTGCTCATTGGAAGGACAGATCCTGAAGCTAAGGCTCCAGTACTTTAGCCATCTCATGAGAAGAGAAGACTCCTTAAAAAAGACTTTGATGTTGGGAAAGTGTCAAGGCAAGAGGAGAAGGGGATGACCGAGGATGAGATGGTTGGACAGTGTCATCGAAGCAACCAACATGAATTTGACACAACTCCGGGAGGCGGTGGAAGATAGGAGGGCCTGGCGTGCTCTGGTCCATGGGGTCACGAAGAGTCGGACACGACTAAACGACTGAACACACACACACATTCTAGTTATAGTGGTGAGGGACCTGTTTCATGTAGATGAAGATTACAGTTTTGATTGTGCACTGGAACAGAGAACCACCCAACTTATTAAACATTTGCTCACACCTTTGGTCACTAGATTTCATTTGAACACCTTTTCCTGAGGCAAGCAGAGTAACAGTACAAGACAGCTTAATAATTGATATGTAGACACTCATCCTGGTAAAGTTATTAAGATGGCAGTTGTTTCCATTACAAGTTTTCTGGAGAGGATTTAAAATTGGGAGTTTTTAGATTTTGCATTACAGGTTGGAGAAAACTTGAAATTCGGGTAGACAAAACCAGCACACGTATTGTTTTTTTCTTCCAAAATACCTGTTTTAAAATAAGAGTGGTGGCAAGGTAACTAATCACAACTCAATCATTTTCTGTGCCTTATATAGTGTATGAAACCACACATTACACCCAATCTATTGTCTGTCTCATCAAACTGCTGGCATACAAAGCTATGTACATATAGGTGCAAATGTGAAGAAACAGTTAAAAATGAAATGTATTGGAGAGCTCACCTCAGATACTCAGCCTACACACAGATATGAGATGCAGGGCACGGAGAACTGTCCAATCTGAGTATTAAGTATTGGGTCACTAAATACAGCAGGTTATCATTTACATGAGTAGACTATTTGTACTGTATTCAAAAGAGAAGAAAGTTGAATGTATCAATGCATTCTCCTGGCAATGTAGTGGACCGTTTTTCATTTTATTTTATTTTGGAATGACACAGAATGTTGCTTATTTCAGGGACTGTGTGACAGAGAGTACCCCAAGGATCATCAATATCCCCAATGCTGTTTAACATCTATGTTAAGCTGCTGGGGGAGGTCATTAGGGGATTTGGAGAAAGATGTCATCAATATGCTGACAACATGGAACCCTCTCTCTCCTTTACCACTTCTGCAATGGAGGCCGTCCAAACACTTCAGCGATGCCTAGATTCGGTACTGGAAATGACCAGGGCTAACAGGCTCAAACTGAACCTGGAAAAGACAGAGATTATGTTCCTGGGGGGGCCCTCAGAAAAGTTGGGGGTTATCCCTAGACTGGATGGCATCTAGGGATTGAGTTCATAAATTCTGGATCCAGCTCTTTCTTGGGACTCCCAGATTGCAGCCATGCCCATATTAGCTTTTAATCAGGATAGGCTTATCATCCAAATCCATCCCTAGCTAGCACTGATCAATTCCTGGATCGACTATCACAACACTCTCTATGTGGGGCTGTCCTTGAGCCTGATCTGCAGACTACAGCAGGTCCAGAACACAGCAACCACGTTGTGAGCAGATTTGACCACATCACCCAGTTCTGGCTAGCTTTCACTGCTTACCTGTTGTGTCCCAGATCAGTTTCAAAGTTTTGATACTCATGTATAAAGCTCTCCACAGTTTGGGACCACATTACCTGTCAGAGTGTCCTGCCCCTATGTCATCTGTCTGTTCCATCAGATCCTCCCAGGCCACACTCTTCCATGTGGCCAGCCTGAGAGGGGCCAGGATGTCTTCTACTAGGGATAGGGACTTCTCAGTGGTGACACCAAAGTTATGGAACCAATTCCCAGAGGAGCTGTCCCTGGGCCCCTCTCTGTACTAATTTAGAAAGCAGCTAGAAACACTACTCTTCAAGGAGGCCTTCGCACCTCCTCTATCTGTTTCAGGCTGAGAACTGATTGCACCATTGTGTTTTCCAGTTTTTAGACTTTTTTTAAATTATGAGTATGATATTTTAGTGTTTAGTGTTTTATTTTGCTGTAGCTCTACTTTAACTGTTTGTAAGCTGCCCAGAATAGTGTTTCGGCACTAATGGGACGGTATAACAAACAAACAAATGGTGATCCAAAAAGTAAAATTTTCAAGCTTAGCTTCTCAGTTCCAACCTCACGGAAAGGGATGAGCCTGTCTCTTTCAACTCTATCATTTCACAAACACACTTGAAAGTAATTACAGCTAGTCATAAGCTGACAATTTATACTGCAACTGCACATGCAGTTACTATAATTACTATATATTTGGACTAGGAGTCACCTTTAAAGCATAGAAGCACTGCCATGACGGAGAGAGGAAATTAACCTGTTTGTCCCCTTCCATGTTTACTGAGGTCATCATCAAATACCCAGTCCCAAGTGCTGTCACATTCTGGGGTCCATGTCGATTCTCTGTGCCACCTTAGGAATGAATTAGCTGTCCCAGACACATATGTTTGGCACTTATTAATTTTTTCTTTTGGTTTGCATCTCATCCTATAGTGCAGCAATCCCCAACCTTTTTAGCCCCGTGGACTGGATGGGGAAGGCGGGGCACCCCCCTGCGCTCATGCGCATGTGCGACAGAGGGTGCACGATCGTGCACATGTGTAAAGGGCAGTGCGGTGCTTGTGCAGGCGCTCGCGTGCAGGCACAAACAGGCTGTGTGTGGGGAGTGCATGTGGCAGTGGGGGGGTCTCTCTTCGTGGCCCGGTCTAGCTCAGGCCATGGACCAGCACAGTTGGGGACCTTTGCTATAATGCACACATTCTCTGAGTGGTTTACAACACGTTAAACATGTAAGTACAACAAAGATCCAACAATAAATATTTAAAAGGGACAAAACTCTGTCCCTACCTAAAACCTAAACAAATTAAAATGGATTTGAGCAGCTCAAGTAGTTAATAAAAGGCAGCTCTGAACAATACACTTTTTACTAACTTCTTAAAAACAAAGGAGGAAGGTGCCTGACAAGCATCTATTGGAAGTTTGTTCCAAATGAAGGGGCCACAGTTCCTTGTGTTGACTCTCTTGGCCTCCTTTAGTGTCACAATTTTCAACATCAAGGAGGGAGTGTGATAGGTAGCTGTTTTGTGGGAGAGACATTTAGACAAATATCAAGGCCCTAAACTGTTAAGGGCTACTTAATTTACTCTTGTATCCTTAGCTAACAGGCTAATATCAGGTTATTTCAAGTTATTGTTATTATACATTTTAAAAGATAATAATTTATATAGATTTTATTCAGCATTGGTTTATTTTGAATTGTGAACTGCCCTGAACAACTTGGAGGGAAAAGGAGAGGTAAGTAATTAAATCAAAGAAGACACAGGACAGTGTACAGCAGCTTTTTTTTACTGGAATAAGGGCCCCACACTATCGTAATCCTATTTAGGTAGGAATTAGGGCTGTTTTCTAAGTTGTCAAAGGCAACAAGATGAATAGCTAAGAAGAACTATCAGACCAAACAGAGAAATTTCTGTAGGCTGGAAGAGAACCTTTTCTTTCTGTTCAAACAATACAGGTGCACAAATAATATCATATGTTGGGCCAGAAGTACATATAGCCAAAATATTTGCAAGCCAGTTAACCTTGGGCTAATTAAAATGGCATCCTCAAGTAGGTTGTACTGTTAATCACCACAGGTACATCTGTGCCATAATTTATATGTGCCTTGTACTTTTCCATCATAATAAATAATATGCTACATCATCTTTAATAAGTAGTTATATTGAAAACATAGCATCTTGTTCCCATTTTGCAAAACACTATTATCCTAAATGCTTAGATTGACAAGAATGTATCCCTGGTGATTTCATCGTGTAGGGACTGAAACCTATGAGCAGAATAACACAAGTAACATGTCTGCGTAGAAGTGAGTCTGGGGAACACTTTGCTACAGCATTATAAACCCTGAAAGTGATTGGATTGATTCAGAACAGCCAATTTTGTAAAGCAAAGTTACAACTGAGGATTATGACAGAATAAAATCCCTGTTTTGCTCCATTAATCTAATGCACTCAATATAATCTTTATCCCCCAATTTGTACATTTGACAAATTGAAAGTCTTTTCCAGTTCCAGTCAGAGGTGCATATTCAAGGTAGACTGGTACAGACACGTTCCAATTCTAATAAGAACACAAGTGCCTTGGAACCCCCACTCCCCCCAAATTCTAGAGATCTGCTGCAAAGAAAAAGAAAATATCACCCAAAGCAGCAGCAACTGTTATAGCTACTGATCCAGTATGCATTAACTGATGCTTCAAATGAAAATAAAACGACTAAGAATAGATTTGCTCTTTTTTTTACAAGAAAAAAAGAAAAGAAAAAAGACTACTAACCTCTGAAAATAACTATGCATTCAGTAGTCCCGCAAACTGGGCTCACTCCTTATTCGGAATTGCAACCTAGCTTTATTGTAAGTAAATACAGCGTTTTGTTCCCATTCTGCAAAACACCATGTTGACAGCCAAGAAAACGGATGCCCATCTTGTGCACCACCGAGTGTGCCCCTGTCAAAAAGCAACTCCCGGAACCCAGGTCGAACTTCTCTGAAGATCCCATCAGAAGTCCGCTGAGGACCGGATCCGGATTCATCCACTTCCAAAAACCACAAGTTCGAAATCGCTATCTTAAAAAATAAGACGCGAGGAGGAAAGGCCGCCAGACGAACTTAACACGGAGCACCACCGCTTCTTGACAGACAATTTCCCCTCGCCTCCTTTTCAGATGACACGTGCTGGCACGTGAAGCAATGCTCTTGTGTCGCGCGCGCACACACACCCCCGCCCCAATACGCACCGTGTTGTAGAACTCGGCAATGGTGGGCACAACGGTGTAGTTGTTCTCGCACCAGTCCAGCTCGGAGCTACCAGCCTTCAGGTGATCCCACAAGCGGAGGGCAGTCATGGAAAAAGCCACGCCCAGCCGCCGACCCCCCTCAGAGAAGACGGCCACGGGGCGGAAAGGCAGGCAGAGACCCTTCAAGGGCTTCTTCTATCAGACCCCCGGCGAGGCCGCCCAAGCTACTACACAGCGACCGCTGTTCCGGCGGTTGTATCCTTTTCTGCTTTTATCAAGCCGGACAAGTCGCTCTCAGCTCTACCTTTGTCCCCCTTTTTTTCGCTCAGCCTGTTGGACCTCTGACTAGATTCTCTCGACACTCCTCCTCTCCCCCCCCCCGCAGCGCAGAAAGCTTTCTAACGGCACGCCTCCCTCCCAGCTGACCCAACTCCTAGTCCGCTCCCCTCCAGTCCTCAGCGCGCCTGCGCAGCTTTCGCTCTGCAAGTCTTAGGCCCCGGCAGCTGTATCAGGGTGCTCTTCCTTCCCTCCCGCAAGCCTAATCCGACACAAACGGGTGCAATCCATCTCATTCCTGTCCTGCCTTTTGGACGGCTGTGCAGCTAAACGCTAGCTTCTTCCCCTCCCCTTTTATTTTTTTTTATTTTTGCCTTTTTTTTAGCTGCAGTGCCTCGCCAGGCGTATTATAGAGAGCTGTCTCTAAAGAACCAAGACGATTTTTATTTAATATTTAGTTTTCTATTATTTGTTTCTTTAAGTGCTTGTTTTTAAATTTTCAGTGTGAGCCATGTTTGCAATGCACACAGTGCTGGAGTCTTCAATATGTGCATTCTTCAGAATTCTTAGTGTATGGCAACTCTGCACATTTTACTCAAAAAGATTCCAACCCCCCCCCCCAAACACACACATTTTCCAAGGTACTGCTCCTAGGGCTGTAAACCTTGGGCTACAAGCCAGTAGCATATACCGGCTGGATCTTGCTGCTTCCCCCTAGATTTTTTGTTACTTATACTATATTGCTATCCCACCAGTCTTCACATGAGGTCAAGGGAGCACCCATGGCTCTACACCGCCTCACCTTATCCTCACAAACAATACTGTGAGGGGAGGTTTAGCTGAGCTTCCTGGAACCCAGCTCTTCCAAGTGCTGAGCCCAGCACTTCAACCACCACACCACTCTCCCTCTCCCTGCTCCTGCAGCCACCACCCCCATGCATTTTAAAACCTGCTCTAGAAAGCTAGAAAGTACAGGTTCCATTGGCAAAGAGATGATAAAGTACACCACTGGATCTTGGCTTTCATATATTGAAAAATACAGCAACAGGAATGTATATCACTGTTTTGGGGTAAAGGAGATACTGTACCATACTTACCAAGCAGGGATGAAGACTGGAGTCGCAGGACTCACTGTCAAGTTGGACTAAGTCACACTGGTGACTCAACTTGGAGTTGACTTTGGTGTTTTGTTTTTCAGTGACTCGGATTTGACTTATGACTTAAAACCCATCCACCACTCCCTTTTTTCAGGGGGGAGCTTGTTTTGGGACTTGGGGTTCAGGACTTGGTACCAAAGACTCAGACTTGGACCTAAAGACTTGCCAACATCCATGACTCAGTGGTTTAGGTATCTGGCTGTAGAGCTAGATACCTAGTTCACTGTGCCTCCTTAACTGAACTTAGTGATCCATAGGGTCCTTTCCAGCTCTGTAGTTCTAAGATTATTATTACTAGCAAGGTAATGGTAAAGGTTCCCCTTGACATTTAGTCCAGTCGTGTCACCCCCGTCCCCAAGCCGTAGAGCCAGCGTTTGTCCATAGACAGTTTTCATGGTCACGTGGCCAGCGCAGCTAGACACGGAACACTGTTACCTTCCCACCGTGGTGGTACCTATTTATCTACTCGCATTTACATGCTTTCGAACTGCTAGGTTGGGAGCAGCTGGGACAAGCGACGGGAACTCACTCCATCACGTGGATTCGATCTTACGACAGCTGGTCTTCTGACTTTGCAGCACAGAGGCTTCTGCAGTTTAACCCACAGTGCCACCACATCCTTCTGCAAACTGTATATCTTATGGGAAAGTGTTGTGGGGAAAATTGCAGACTCAGGACTTGGACCCAGAGACTTGCCAACATCCCTGCTACCAAGGAAAGCTGTCCTAGAACATACTGTTGCCTGAGTCATCAGATCAACAAATTGTGCTTCCACCCCCTTTAGTGTTTAGTTCAAACAGCACAGTAAAATATAAAAATAATTATTTTAAAACAATTTAGTACCCTTTCAAAACACCCCAAATCTACTATCTGGTTTGAACTTTTAGAAGAAGCCATGTTAGTCAAAAACAAAAGAAAAAGAAAAAATAAAGAAGTCAAAAACGTTGTGGCACCTTAAAGATTAGCTGGTATATTTTAATGTGAGCTTTTGTCTTCAAGATTCATCTTACAGCTATTAGGTTTTTCTTGCTTTAACATTTGTCTTAAATACTTCAAGGATTCTGTGGGTCAGACAGCATTTTTTAACTTTCTCTAACTTCCTTTTCACATCCACAACACATCAAGACTCCGATCTTGCCCAGTCTCTGGGTTGGACAAGATCAGGGTCTCATTGTCCCATGTCTCCCCTGCTCTGTGCAATCCTGATGGCTGCTCCCTGGCTCCCCTTGCTACTCTCTTTCTCATGAAAACACATCCCTCTGTAAGCAGATAAAATAGCTTAAGCTAAAAACTGTTTCATAAGTACATTGAAAAGTAATGACAGCAACCATCAAGAATATGAAAAAATAAGTGGGAGAGGGAACAAGTTTGGGAAGGTTACCATGTAGTTACTAAGTGTAAGGGAAGGGGAGATAAAAAATCAAATTGTAGCAGGGATCATCCTGGAAGTTCAGCTGAAGGCACAACACCCATCTCTTGACATGCACCTCCTCCTGCAACTGCCAGGTGCTGCTTCTGGCAAGGTGCCTGGCTTAATATACCTGCAGGAAGAGGAGCTACCAACGCAGTTGGGGGCTCAGGTATTCCAGCTCCCAGCTTTTCTTCTCCCCTCAACAGCCTGCACACTGCCTCTGGCCAGACACTGCCATGCTATCCACTCACCATCACACCACACATCACAGCAGCTCTACTGTAACTTCTCCCTTAGTCAGGTTCTAGGAGTAAAACTATGTTGTGTGCAGAAATGGAGCATGTGTATAAGCCTTGTCTAGAACCATGCATGGCTTATCTCTTTGTTCTTATAGGGCTTTTGACAATTCCATGAAAGACTACAAAGTAACAAGGTTGACCATCTTTATAGGTACACCTAATACAATCTTGCCTCTCATGCTCTTTCAAAAGGCACAGGGGGGAAATGGTGGCAATCTCACACTACTATACTGTGTTTTCCCAAAAATAAGACAGGGTCTTATATTAATTTTTGCTCCAAAAATGCAGAAGGGTTTATTTTCAGGGGATGTTTTATTTTTTATTTTTCATGTACAACGATCTACATTTATTCAAATACAGTCATGTCATCTTCTGATTGCTGCACAATGGTGGAGGGCAGGGTTTCACTTAATTAGGGCTTATTTTTGGGGTAGGGCTTATATTACGAGCATCCTGAAAAATCATATTAGGGTTTATTTTCAGGTTGGGTCTTATTTTCGAGGAAACTGTAGAAGAAACTGACAGGAATTATATACAGTATATTTAATTATCCAACACTTGTGATACTAAAACTGAATCTCTATGATTGTAATAAGCAAAATCTAGAGGAAATACTCATTCACTAGAGGAAATACTCATTCACACTCTCTTGTTATTTATCCTTTAAGGTTGAATCAAGCTGATACTTTCAAAATTCTTTTCACATCATATGTATAAATCTTAGTTTGGTACATTTGCCCCACTTTTGTATTATGGATGAATTATAAGAAACAAGTTTCAAGTTCTGTGTGCCTGCAAACACTGAACAGGAATAAAGGAAGCCTGTGTTACTGAAATACATCAATAGGGTATGGTTTTGAACAAGACATTTTTCTTAATAACTATGACATGTTCTTGGCTGTGAACAGGTGTACTTGTGGAACAAAGAGAACTAATCAAAAAGATACTTCCCATTTCCTTCAGTATTATCTTTATTTTACATGATCTACAGAAAGTACAGTGGTGCCTCGCTAGACGATTACCTCGCAAAATGGTTAATTCGCAAGATGATGGGTTTTTACGATTGCTATAGCGCTTCACAAAACGGTTTCCCCTATGGGCAATTTTTGTTAGACTATGTTTCGGTCCACGCTTCGCAAGCCTTTTTTTTTTAGGGCGTTTTTCGCAAGATGATGATTTTGACAGCTGAGTCCGCACTTCGCAAAACGGTTTCTCTATGGGCGTTTTTCACAAGACAACAATTTTCCCCCATTGGAATGCATTAAATGGATTTCAATGCATTCCAATGGGGAACCGCATTTCGCAAGACAATGTTTTCACAAGACAGCTATTTTCGTGGGACGAATTAACATCATCTTGCGAGGCACCACTATATTTCTGGGAAGGAGCTGTCCAGGAGAATGGAAAACGTCAGTTCAGAGTTAAATGAGATTATAAAGGAAAATTAGAGAGTTTCATTGTAAGTAACCTTCAATGAATTCTGACATCATGTTGTGTTGTGTCTAATACCACTCTGGAACTAGTTCCAAATGAGGCTTTTATCACACCATCACCCTGTCACATGATTTTCTACCTCTTCTTCTGAAAAAAAAAACATTAGAGAAAGACAAAATAGGTGCACAGAGTCTACTACTAGCTAGTGTGAGGGCTGCAGACTGGAAAGGACTTGATGTACTAACCCTAAAATGCAGCTTCTCAGAATCTGCCACAGTAAGGCAATCTCTTTAAATTGTCAATAGGATTAAGAAACTCTTCACAATGAACATAGCATTCAGAAAGATAGACAGACCAGTATAATTGTTTTTGCAATACAGAACATTGCCTTATACCAAAATATCCAACCCAATACATTCTCCTCTGACTGGCAGTGGAACTCAGACTGACATTCTATCTTGTATTGGGGGGGTTCCAGAATCCAGATGAAATGGAGATTTTGTTAGTGGGTGGTTTGTCTACCCAGCTGGCTTCCCCCTGAAGAATCAGAGCTAGCATCCTCTTCCAACCAAGCAGTGTCAGTCTTCAGGCTGCAGTTAACTCAGTTCACAGACCAGTCCATAACATCATTGCTTGGGCCAGAAATTACTTGATTTCCCTCTTGTCTGTGTGGTGTGGAAGGAGGAAAAACACATGAAACAGACTATTTCACAGTACAGCTTCAGGCAACAGGATACTAGTCCAAATCTATGGTGTGAGATTCTCTTAAATCTACATTGCCACTTAGAGGTGTGGCTAGCCATGGTGACATGAAG